TAGCCAAAGTATAAGGGCGTGGAATGTGCTCAGTACACATGAAAACAAGGGGTATCGGGCTAGGAAAGGTTGTAGGGGACATTTTGATCTTTGTGGCAAGAGCAGTTGCTGTAACCACCATGCCTGTAAATTTCCCTTCATGAATCTCTGGAAATCCTAATCCCAGTACCATATTTTAAGGGGATTCCAGAAATTCCTGAGGTTTAGAGATGAGATTAAGATTAGGATCTCAGTTTGAGAGGAGAACACTTCTAGAAATAAGGAATAAATTGAGCAAATCCTAAAATCCAGCATCGTAGCTGATTATGATGGACTCTGAGGGTTTGCAGGGAGAAGGACAGGCTGAAAATAGGTCCTTGAAATGCAGTCATAACTTCATTAGGGCCCACAGGTAACACATCTACTTAAGCAATACCACAGACTGAGTTCTACCACTCCACTTTGGCGGAGAAATTTCAACTCAATTCATCAAAACTGAATTGAGAAACTTTCGAGTGTAAGGTGTTATGAGGAATTTTAAAATAAATAAGATTCCTTCTAAAAGGGAGATTGCAATTTAGTTTCGATAGGTTTTGCATAGATTTTTTTGTGAAAGATCTGTTTAGGGATACTCCAGGAGACCCTACAAATCCAACCCAGTTTGAAACCTTCCTAAACCAGCTAACAGCTACAGTGCTTTATAAGATAAGGACATTTTCTTTTGATGTAAATAAGCTTTTCCAAGACCATCTTACTTTCTCTATCTGGTCACATTATTACACTGATTCCTCTCATTTCAAATTCTTTTATGAGTTCCCTAGGAAGTGGCATCCTTCTCCCTAAAGCCATTCAATCTGTTAAAGCTCTATTTTTACTTCTGAAATAAACAAACTGATGAGTCAAGACAAATCTGGTCATCTAGTCATCTAGACTGCTCATAACCAAATCTATTACATAGAATTAAGCCCTATTGTTAGATTTACCATCACTCAATTCTACTTTGTGGCCTTTGGCTTATTTTTTTAACATGTGTCAGTATGCATCACTTGAGGCATAACATAATAATGCTGTATGAGTCAATTCCGACTCATAGTGACCCCATGGGACAGAGTAGAACTGCCTCATAGAGTTTCCTAGGCTGTCATCTTTATGAGAGCAGATTGCCAGAGCTTTCTCCCTTTGAGCCACTGGTGTGTTTGAACCACCAGCCCTTAGATTAGCCACCAAGCATTTAACCATTGTGCTGTCAGGGCTTGCTTAATATAATAATAATAATAGTGGTTACTATTTATTAAGTGCTAAGTGTTTGCTTTATTTCACTAAGTCACTGAAACAACCCTACAGGGTGGTACTGCTATTATCCATATTTTAGATCGGGAGAAATTACATGTCAGAGAGATTAAGTTACGTGCTCAATGTCACACCAACAGAAAGTGCTGAAACTAGGATTTGAACCCAAGCCATCTGGCCTTGGAACCTGTGGCACCAAGCGTCCACAGGCATGGCATGTCCTTCTCCAGCCCTGAGATCATTAGGACCTCATTTGAATACACTGGAGGAATTATGTGACATGCAACACAGGAGGCTACTTGCTAAACATTTTCAGGAATCAATTTATGTGAAGATTTGTATCTGCTAAAATCCCCTTCAGATGGTCTGTAGTGTATAACATCAACAATATCAGTGGATTTATTGTAAAGATTTTATTTATCAAAATGCCCAATCTCCCTTATCCCTCTAAATTATCCCCTAAATTACATTTATCCCCCTAAATTGTCCCCCTAAATTACTGTGGAACCATAGTAAATTAAAAATACACATTTAGGATTTCAGAATAACCATGTATTGTAATCTACAAAAAGGAATTTAAGTGAATTATGAATGCCATTTAAATATATCCTAAAATGGGAGGCTTGAATCTAACCCAGTTATTCCCAGTTTTTTTGGTGTGTGCATGTGTATGTGTGTGTGAGTGTGTGTGTGTGTGTAGTGTTACCATTCTCTGAAAATCCAATGAATATTAGGTTGTTGTTGTTAGTTACCATGGAGTCTATTCCAATTCATGGAGATCCCATGTGTGCAAAGTAGAATGCTTCATAGGATTTGTAAGGCTGTGACCTTTTGGAAGCAGATTGCCTTCTGAGGCACCACTGGATGGGTTCAAAATGCCAACCTATCAACTAGTGGTTGAGCACTTAATCATTTACATTACCCAAGGACTCCTTGATGAACGTCATACATGTATAAAACACACACATACAATTTCTAGGGATTTATACCAAAGCCTATCTGATCTCCAACCCGTCTGTTGGCATACTGAGTAACTAACTGCCTAGAAATTTTAATGCAAATCAATTGCACGAATCTGGAGTTCAGTAAATCTAAAATCCAAAGATGTTGATAAGCTGCACAATTTTATAAATCTTGCTGGAAGCCATAGTCTTTGATACTACTTGAAGAATGGGTTGAGACTTCACACAGAGAAACTGCCGTAGGGGGCTGACAAATCTTGGGAGATCTATGTCTGCTATACCTTGATACCCTCAAGGGACTGGAAAATTTCAGGGAGTCAGTCCAGTCACCAGTTCTCCAGTGACTTCCAGTGTGGAAGGCTAGTGGGGTGTCTTAGAACACTCACCAACGTGATGCTCTTGAAGTACTTCAAATACTCATCTAAAAATGTTGAAAGTAAACCATATTTACTCTTCTCATCAGCATACACTAAGGCTATACCAGTATTACACAAGACCACCCAGATGAAAAATGACAATTTCAATAATCTAAAGTGGATATTTAAAAAATATGTGTGTGTGTACATATGCATATATGTGAATATTAAATATTATAAAATGTACAAATAATTATCACTTAGTATAGTGTCTGGTACATAGTAAGCAAACAATAAATGTTATTAGAATCAGTGTTTATGTGACTGTACGTATGTGTGTGTTTGTGTATGAATGATAATGGAAATTAATATTTCAGGGTTTTTTTTCCCCATTACAAACACAGCTACAAATAATATCTTTGTACATGTGCCTTTGCACATATGTGTGACTACATTTGGAGGGTAAATTTCTAGAACTAGAATTACTAAATTAAAAGTTATGTGCATTTGTTATTTTGATATATATTGTTATATTGAGTTCCGAAGATATTGTACTTGTAACTATTTTATCCATTTTATCCAGTATCTTCATACACATATACATATATTTATGTATAGATCTAATATATATATATATATATATGCATGTGTATATATATACATATATGCTTGTGTGTTTTGAGTTAAGTGACTCTCTTATATAATCAGATACTTTCTGC